AGATTTTCCTTTTACCTGTTGTAGTATTCATCAGTCTAGACTGTTTTGGTGTGAGTTGCAGAGTGCTGGTAAAGATGTCTGCCTTCTCTTGAATAAAATGTAACCATGTGGCACTCAGTTTGTGGTGCTCAAAGGACCAAAAACAAACATTTGAAAAACTCGGCAGCGATGTCTCTCTCCAGAAATCACTACCCAGTTACTCAAGATAATCAGCAGACTTTGTTGTGAGCAGTTTCATGTGGGAACTTTTTTCTTTTTACTGAACTACACCTGCCAACTGTGTCACCACAGAGAATGAATCATGCATCTACTAATGTACAAGGGGCTCGGGCTACAAGCACAGCTTTAGATATAAACACTGATGGACTCATCCACAGCAGCGCTGTAACGTTAGCTAGTTCAGTGGTCCTAGGTGAGCTAACAGTAGATGAACACTTCCCTCTGCTCAGTGATATGATTGGTCGGTGTAGTTTAGTAGACAGAAAATAGTTCCTACATCAACAACAAGGTCTGTGGATTATCTTGAGTAACTGGGTCATGATTTCTGGAATGAGACATTGCTGTTGAGTTTTTCAAATGTATTTTTTCGGCACCACAAGCTGAGTGCCATCTAGTCCCATAATATTCCAGAGAAGGCAGACATCTCTTCGGCCAATATCTCCAACATTCTGCAGCACACACCAAAACAATCTCATCTGATAAATAGCACTACAGGTAAGAGGAAAAGTACATATTTTTGATTTTGAGGTGAACACTCCCTTAAAAAGATTTCAGAGACTTACGCTGATTGTCAGTCTTGCGTTCCCTGCGACTGTATTGATGGTGAGCCTTGCCATGCCATTGGCTGCGGTGAAGCCCTGCACGTTGCCTGGATCGACCACCACTGCAACACCTTGTGCTGGAGTCTCATCAGGATTCACAACTTCAACCTGCCATCAGACACACACACAACCGAACGATCAGAAAACGTCTAACTGCCTTATTAAAACACATCTTATTAAGGTCAAACACGTTATTAAATTAGTTTTCAGTCAAGTAAGTAAGTAGTTTATGGTGATGCAAACTCTTGGTGGGTAGATTGCTCTTTTTATCTGGAATCTCAGCTGTTTGTGAAAATCCAAATTTATGTGGTCAGTAATTTAAATGTTAATGAGTACTGTACCGCAACATCGAAGGACATTCCTGGTTTGAAGTATTTGGGTGTTTTCGTGAAGTGAATGGTGTACGGTGATGTGACGATCTGGATACTTCTCAACTCTGCCTCCACCATTTCACTACCTGTTGAGTTAATGCAGAAACAAACACATTTACACACAAACTAATTGCAGCTGAGTATTTCTTAAACACTGGTTTACTTTCTTCTTTATCAGAGAAATAGTTTGCTGATTTTCAACCAGCCTTTAATCATAACAGTGTGGGTAGTATGTCTCTCTCAAACTCTGACCAAACTCAGATCAAACAGTAAAACTGGGCAGCGCTGAGCAATTATAAGCCAAGATTCTGTTACTGTATTGCCTATTTCTCACCTGAAATTAAACCTCATTGTTCCTTTAGTTTCCTTTTGTGTTCCTGCATTAAGAAAATGTACTTTCTGTGTAAATAAATCTTCTTACCATATCATGACGAAAACTCTGTCTGTGTCTGTCTGTGTGTCTGTTCCACGTTTTTCTCCTCACTGACTTGGTCAATCCATGTGAAATTTTGCACAGAGATGCCTCTCTTCACGAGGAACAAATTTGCCTAAGAACCCATAACTTCCGGTTATATAGATTTTCCGCCATTTTGAATTTTTTGAAAAACACTTAAAATTGATCTCTTCCTAGGAAGTTTGACCGATCTGCATGAAACTCGGTGAACATAATCTAGGGACCAATATCTAAAGTTCCCTCTTGGCAAAAGTTGGAAAACTTACTAAAACTGAGCTTCTATAAGGCAATGACTTTAACTATCTGCCTTTCAACATGCTACCTCAACTACTAATGTACAGTTTTAGCCAACTAACTATCCCACTATTGGCAATGGTACTATTGTACTTTCATTAAATCAATCGTACTATCAAATTCACAAAAACTCTGTCTGAATACATTGCTCTTCTTAATGGGTTCAGTTGACTATTTAATCTGCTATTATCCCAAACACACACCATGTGAAATTGTACGTTTGCAACTGTGCACTCAATGGGTATGGACTAGCATATGTTATTTTGCCTTCAGACTGTGTCTCCCTCTTTCTTTGGCATGCCTTTAGAGCCAAGTCATGACATTCTTTGAGAAAGTTTAGACTCTACTAATACTGAAAGCTCTTTCGATCCACACATGATCAAATACACCGAACAGGCACAAACACACACTCTCTCTTTCTTACCGCTCTCCGTCAGCACACTGACAGCTACAAATATGGATTTCCCGACCAGGTCGAGGATGTTTGGGAAGGTCTGTGTGATGTGCTCTCTCTTCAGTGTGACCGCTCCACTACCTCTGCCAACCTAATTTGGCATAGTATAAAAATGCATCTTGAGATACAGTATAGTGGTACAGTGATACAGTCAGTTGAAGGCACTTTACAAAATGTAGGAAATTTAGGGTCTTGTAAAAATGCGGCAAAAGTATAAGTATGTGCTCACCGGCACTCTCTGAAGAGAAGATGGGAAGCTTTTCTTTTGACCATCTTGCATAACTCCAAACACCACATAAGCCGTCCCAT